AGATTTCTAATGGAACTGGTAGGTTATCAATTTCATGCCAGGACTGACTCTACATCTGCCGAAAGGGCAGTTTCGCTTCTGACCCATGCCAGAAAGTGCATGCCACCATTGTTCACCTGCCGTATCCCCCCGACAACCCCTGTGATCTCCTATCAGGTGCTGGCAGGCAGAAGCCCTATGGCCTAAAAGTCCCATTCTGTCTCCTCCATGCTCAAGAAATGGGTGAGGGGAGGGGGAGATATTAACAGTGTCACTGGTGGCCACCGGACATGGCTTTCCATTAGGGTGGCAGGATGATCCCAATGAAAGGGAAGCTTGCATGCTATGAGATCTGGCCAGTGAGTGGGGCATGGAGGCGCTAATGCCTAGGAAGGTGAGAAGCAGCCCCAGTGGCAAGAAGGGGCACTGAAAAGAGTGGAGTCTGTGTGTGTGCCTGCTACAAACTCACCCGTCAGCTATGCTTTCCATGCCTCAGATCAGCTGTAGCATGGTGTGGAGAGCAAGGCTGATGTGGGCAAGGCAGGTGCACATACAGACTCCACTGTTTTCAGCAGTGCTTTGGTGCCTGGCCCAGCAAAGTGGAGCTGGGTGTAGTGAGGCGAGGCCCAGCAAAGCAGAGCTGGATGAAAAGAGGGCCATCAAAGCCAGGCATGGCCAGATGTGACGGGCAAGGTGGAGAGAGGTGGGGCGAGGCTGGGAGAGGCAGATCAGGATGAGGCAAATGAGCTGCAGCTGTTCCTGTGCACCACCCGCAGCCAAGCACTCGCCATTTCCAGTGTGTGCATTGGGAGGGTGCCAAGCTGGGTTAGGATGGGCCAGGGCTGGGGCAACTGGGGCTGAGGCAGCGGGGGCTGATCCCTTGCCAATTCTGGATCAGCTCCAGGGGCCAAATTTGGGCCCTTGGCAGGCCATCCCCGACCTGCAGTCCTTGTGTTTCATATATCTGCTTTATAAGGACTTCAGGTGTGGGTGTATCAAGTGAGAGTCTTATGATGTCTCAGATGTGAGTCATCAGAGATGGGCTCATGATGGGGAGATTATTTCAGAACAGGGCTATTGGAGAATGTGAATGATCAGGGGGTCAAGATCCATCACCATCCTCTCACTGATGACTCATACCTCAGCTACTGATAATTCACACTCTACAATGATCATGACCTGAAGTACCTTCCCCATCACAAGGCCCATCACAAGCCCCTCTCTCATGACTCATACCTGACCCATCATAATACTCTCACTTGACACATCCCCACCTAAAGCACTTGTAAATAGTAAAGCACTGAAATAGAAATCTCCTAAATGCCACTGGAAATGTTACCTAGCCTGGAAGCAAAAAGTTGAGGGAATGAACCTTCACCCTCAACATTCTGAGTGCTATAAACTGATTAAGGTCAGTTTAGCAGCAATGAATGCAACATTTCCTTTCCACATGATCTGCCATTTTCCAAGTTTTAACTTCCATAAAAACTGAAAAATAGGTAGAAGCAAAGGGAATTTCACTAGATCACAGATGTCTTATGAACGGATCAGTTATTTTATCATCCAAGGCACACAGGATGGATATTTGTAGAACCAACTATTGTTCTCCACGGAGACAACAAAAGTAACTTAAAGTCAAGATAAAATACAGGGATGGACGTGTCCCTTTGAGAGCTGTATGCAATGAAATTCCATTTTAATATATGCCAATTAGTGTACATTCAAAATGACAATAAAGTTTCTATTCTATTCTGTTCTGTTCTGTTCTGTTCTACTCTAAATATCATTTTATCAGAAAGGTACATTATAGAAAAGAATAAGAACTGGCATTCACACAGGCTATAATTTTCAAAAACACAAAATGGATAGATGACAAATTCATGGACTTTTCCTTCCAGATATGGATGACTGTTTTGAATGTTCAGAAGATCATTATCCAAATAAAGAAAAGAAAGGATGTATCCTGAAACGGCTGATCTTTCTAACTTTTGAAGAAAACTTAGGAATTGGTTTAGCTTCAGCAGCTCTTTGTTTCTTTCTCTTGACATCTTGGGTACTTGGAACTTTTATTAAACACAGGGACACTCCCATTGTCAAAGCCAACAACAGGTCTCTCACCTATACCCTCCTTGTCTCGCTTTTGTTCTGTTTTCTCTCCTCTTTTTTATTTCTCAGCCAACCTGGCAAAGTGACCTGCCTTCTCAGACAACCAACTTTTGGAATTACCTTCTCAGTGGCCATTTCTAGTGTACTGGCCAAAACCATCATGGTGGTTGTGGCTTTCATGGCCACTAAACCTGGATCTCAAATGAGGAAGTGGGTGGGGAAAAGATTGGCCTTTGCTGCTGTCCTTTCCTGTTCTCTTGTTCAAGTATGTATTTGTACTCTTTGGTTGTCAACATATCCCCCATTCCCTGAGTTAGAGATGCACTTAGAGCCCCAAGAAGTGATTTTACAGTGCAATGAGGGGGCAGCTACATTCTTCTATTGTGTCTTGGGCTACATGGGTTTCTTGGCCATTGCCAGCTTCATTGTGGCTTTCTTTGCCCGTAAATTACCTGACAGTTTCAATGAAGCCAAGTTCATCACCTTCAGCATGTTGGCCTTTTGCAGTGTTGGATCTCCTTCTTTCCAGCCTATCTGAGCACAAAAGGCAAAGCCATGATAGCTGTGGAGGTCTTCTCCATTTTGTCTTCCAGCGCTGCATTACTGGGATGCATATTCTTGCCAAAGTGCTACATCATTGTTTTCCGGCCTGAGCTAAACCACAGGGAACAACTAATAAAGAAAATGTAGTACATCAGATTGTTTTACCTAATGTTTTTTTTCCTTTGAATACATCAAGCTAATAAGATTTTGACAATCTGTCTGTTTATATTTTTTAAGAGATTTGACATATTGACTTTAAGGATAAAGGGCAGCTGGCAGTTCATGGTTTTTATAGCTTCACTTCATAAACCACTGTATAAATATAGGAAAAAGCTAATGGATATTTTATAGACATGTATTTCGCTCAGTATCATAGGGGATCTGTTTTGGATTGATTGATCATCTTTGACAGGTAAAAGGTAAAATGTTTTTGAGCATTTAATATACATTTAACTCTGTTTTTTTTAAAAAAAATCATGAATAGTCATAGCCATTCACTCTCCATCCACCAAGGTATTTTTATTGTATCCTATTGCAATTTAAGGATATTATATGAAATGTAATTTTCCTTCTGCCTCATCTCTTACTAGAAGTGTATGCTGGGTGATGTCCATATCAAGTTTGATTTGATTTGGTTTGATTTAGGTATGTCTTCCATTAGTTCTTTGGAGGAGACCTCTTTCTCTATGTAATATATGTTTAATAAAATACCACGTCAGACTAAACAGCAGAAGACTATGAATTTTGCTTTAATCATGAAAGCCACCTGGGTGACTTTAGATCAGTCCCTCTCTCTCAGCACAACCCACTTCACAGGGCCATTGTTGTTTGGGGGAAAATAGGAAGAGGAATATCTGTTGGATATATTTGATGCTTTGAGTTATTGGTAAAAATAATAAAAACTGGATATAAATAAATAAATAAATTTGCTTTGGGTCCTGTATTTTAATTTCATGATATCAATATTGGCGTTGGTTCACATTAGCATTCTCTGCCTGGAAATATGAGTGAACTCATCCAAAAGGCTATATGGTTTAATTGGCATTTCTTAATAGGTAGAAAAGTTCCTCTTCTCTATTCAACTACTCTGTTTATTTTACGTGGAAAATGAACATGAATTTGAACTATTAGGCCTATTTTTATTGTCATTGTCCTTACTATATATTATTTTAATTGGCATTTTCTCATTATTAAACCATCAGACACTTATTATCTCACCAATAGCAAAATAATTATTTCTTACAGGAATCTTAGTTGAGCCCACACTTACTGAGCAAAAGCATTTTATAAAATTAAATTCCCCCTGCTAATGAGGATATGATTAAATATAGTTTAAAAAAAAACATTAATATGCAGCAACCAGAATTGACAAACAAGATCCTGAAGTTTAAATTTTGCTTCTTAGGATCAACAATCAACAATAAAGGAAGCAGCACCCACAAAATATGCAGCAAACATATGGTGAGGTAGCCATGACGGTTTCAGAGAAGATATCCAGTGGTCCTCATGGGACACTATGCATGAAGATAAAGATTCATTGATGGAACACACAAAGTGCTGAAATAGAGCCATGGAAATTCTGACAGTCACGCTCAGTAACCACAATTTTTCTTTTCTGTGTGTATCAGTTCAATATTTCTTATTGTGGTTTGTGGTGCTCTAACTTAGAGTATTTACATTGGCCTGTGTTCAGTTAAAAAAATAATTAAACTATTAGCCATTTATTCCTTCATGAAAAATATTTTTTTTCTTTTAATGACCCTGTAATCCCTTGCTTTGGGGTGGAATCAGGGTGACTGAATGGACCTGAGCATTTACTGGCCTGATGCCCTTCCGGATACCTACATGGAGTTCACAACAGATATTTTGTGCCCAAAGAGAAAAACATCTGCCACTACCTAGGATCAAATTCACAGCCTCCTAACTGAGAAGCAAAAACTCACCCTTTAGACCACCATGCTGCTCCATGAAAAATAAAACAATTATCTAGCGGAATCGTCATATTTTTTTTTTAGCTAGGCTCAAATATTAAAGACTTTGCATGAAGGCATTTCAATTCAAAACAATCAAGGTATCTGTTTAGTTGTTAATTAACTTTTGAACCACAGGGAGATTGGCACAAGGGATAATAATGATCCTGGCTCATTCATTGTGTCACGTTCCCTCCTGCCTTTCTTCCTTGCCAGAATATATATTTCGAATCTGGTGATAGTCAAGATACAAATTGGCACACACACGGCTCTTCAAACAGAAATTGATGGATTGTCCCATGAAGGGCATTTTGAGATAAAATCTTTTGATTAAACAGTGGATGAACCATTGGGGTGCATACATACTCTGGAAGACAAAAACATTTTCACCATCCCAAAAGCATGAAGATGTTATTCCTTTTGATGTTCCTGATGCACAAGGTAGTTACTCTGAGATGCCCTTCAAGTGAAGCTTTCCCTGTTCCTCATGAGTGGTTCCAGCCTGGAGATCTTGTCATTGGTGGGATGGTGTCTCACATTTTTTACCACTTTTATGAAATTGAATTTAAGGAACACCCTTCTCTAAAACCTTATGACTTACCTCTGTAAGCAGTTTTATTTTTCCCATGTATTTTCTTAGCTTAGCCAGGTCCCCCAAAATTTCTGATATTTGCTTTCTTTACATTCTATCTCGTGAAATGCATGAAAGTTTGGTGCAAGAAGTCTATTGAAGGACACTTTACACCAAACTTTCATGAGAAAGCTGTAAAAGCTTTTGAAAATAAATGCAGGGTTTACACACACACATACACACACACAAACACACACATACAAGCCTTTATCTTTCACATGTATTGTCTTATAGCAGAAGAAAGCATTTTCTTTACATTATATTAATATCCTTAACATGATATGCATGAAAGTTAGGTACAAGAAGTCTATTGAAGGACTTCTTACACCAAAATAACATGAATTTCATGAGAAAGACTTTAATATAATGATTAATTTATTGTATAATTTAAATTTAATGAGCTTGAGGTAATTGAAAAAATGTTCTGTATGATCAGCCCTCACAAAACGTACATAGAGTAAATGAGTGATACTTGCTGAAGCTGTTCCTGTTATACTTTGTGCCCAAATTGTCAGAATTATATTTGTTAACTGAAAAAAGTCACTACTTTTATTTGCTGTATTATATGATGGTAGTAAATCATGAAAACACCAGGTAAAATGCAGAACTGAACTCTGAGGAAATTATTGAATATTTTAGAAAAGCTATTCTATTCCCACTTCCAAGAGAAATGGTTTGTTATCCATATAGAGAGGATGCCTCCTTACAAGAATTGTGAAATTATTTTTTCAATGGGGTATTTAATTTATTTGCAGTGTAATAACCAAATTCTACCAGCATGTCCTTGCCTTGGCCTTTGCTGTGAAGGAGATCAATGAGGACTTCCAGATCTTACCTAACGTCACTCTTGGGTTCCACATCTATGATAGTTACTACAACCCAAGCATGACCTATCGCTCCACTCTGGACCTCCTTTTCAAATCCCAGGAATTTCTTCCAAACTACAAATGTTATATCCAGAAGAATCTCATGGCCATCATTGGAGGATTAGATGCCCCTACTTCATCCTATATGGCACAAGTTATAAGTATCTTCAAAATTCCACAGGTAATTTTTGCAGAAGGTTGAAAGAGAAACTTTTCTTTCTTTTTTAATGAATATCAGAGAGTATATTTTGGCCATGCCTTTCAATTAAATCCACTTTTTCTCCCTTCTGCAATTTTTCTCACAACCCAATAGGTTGGCTCAAAGTAATCAATCAAGAAAATTAAAATCTTTTATTTGAAAGATTAGAAAAGTAAAATTTAAACCACAAATTAACAGGACAAAATTAATCTTATTTGAGATGATCATCTGATATTCCGGTATGACCACTACATATGATTGAATTCTGGAGCTGTGTTGAGAGAAGGAGTGAAAAGGCTGGCTAGCATATGCTACACTCTCTGAGCAGGAGACCATATACAATTTCAGATAAATGCTTTTCCAGTCTCTTTTTGAAAGCCTCCAGTAATGCAGCACCCACAACTTCTGGAGGCAATCTGTTCCACTGGTTGATTGTTCTCACCATTAGGAAATTTATCCTTATTTTTAGGTTGTTTGTCTCCTTGATTGGTTTCCATCCATTGTTTCTCCTCTTGCTTTTGGAAGCTTTGGAAAATAATTTACCCCTCATCTTTGTAGCAACCCATAAATATTGGAACACTGCTATCATGTCTCATGGTTTTAGGAAGGATCTCCTTTCAGTCATTTCCTGCTCCTCCCCAACTCAAGGCTATCCAGCATTTTCACTGCTGCCATCAACTTACTGCTAGATTCCACCAAGTCACCCAATAATAGTGACAATTCTCTTTGCTATGTCTGGGTTGGTGTCTGTTAATAATAATTGAATGTAAAATTCAGCTGATTTGCCCGGAAATTGTTGAAGGACTGGAGCTTTATTTTACTTTTGGAGATTTCTATAATAATTGCAGTAAATGAAGATATACTTGATTTTTTCTGTTCCTCCAGAGTCTTGTGCATAGTCTTTCATGTATTCTCTACCTGGGCCAGAGAACGGCAGAAGGTAACACAACAACCCTAGCTCTTAAAAAGCTTTTTTCTTAAGCTAGGAAGAGTTTACATGCTCAGATACTTAGCAGGTTTCAGGCTGTTCATAGACATGAGCTATCTGAAACTCCATAGTAGCAAACTAAATTTAGCTTGTAGTCCAGTTATATTCATTCAGTGAGAAAATATTTCATCTTGGGGGTTTTATTGCTGTAATGTTCATCAAAAGCATAATGTACCTAGACGTTGACAACTTTTCAATTGTTCGGTTTCCACCCAGGAGTCATTTTTTCCATCTTTTTCCACTGGTTATCATAAATAATAATTTTCTTCCTTCTTTTCTTTCCTTTCCTTTCCTTCCCTTCCCTTTCCTCTTTCTGTCTATCTTCCTTCCTTCCTTCCTTCCTTCCTTCCTTCCTTCCTTCCTTCCTTCCTTCCTTCCTTCTTTTCCTGTAGTTGACCTATGGCTCTTTTGCCCAGGAAGAATTTCAGAGTAACAAATTATCTTCACTTTATTGCATGGTGCCAAATGAGGACTATCAGTACATGGGAGTTATACAACTTTTCCTCCATTTTGGATGGAGGTGGATTGGAGTCTTTGCATTTGAAACTAAGGGAGAACGTTTTTTGCAGAAACTGCAGCCATTGCTTTCACAGAATGGGATCTGTTTAGCTTTCACACAAAAAATTCCACAACATATCCACTTAGAAGATTTGTCAGAATTGTTCGATTCAGTCTCAATTATTTCTAATAAATTGATGGATCAGAAAACAAATGTTTTTCTTGTGTACGGAGAATCATTCACAATAGTGTGGCTCAGAACTGTCATGTTTCTACGTGATCCAGAAAATAAAAACAGATCATTATTCAGAAAGGTTTGGATCCTGATGAACCCAATTGATTTCATACTGACTGGAATTCAAAAGAGTTGGGATCTCCAAATGTACCATGGGGCTCTTTCCTTTACAGTGCATTCAAGAGAAGTTAAAGGCTTCAAAGAATTTCTTCAAGTCATCAAACCTTCCACCCACAAAGATGGATTTCTTCAAGAGGTTTGGCAACAATTGTTTGACTGCGTGTTTTTAAAGGCAGACTTACCTTCATCTATCAGTGGAACCTGTACTGGGGAAGAGAATTTGGAGAATCTGCCCGCACCTCTGTTTGAGTTGAAGATGACTAGCCAAAGCTACAGTATCTACAATGCTGTTTATGCAGTGGCACATTCTTTGCATGAGGCAAAGACATCAAGTCCCAAATGGACAAAAATTCAAAAGGTTGAATTTCCAAATCTGCAGCCTTGGCAGGTAATCTCCCATGCCATTCCTATCTTTTGTTTTAGCAAATAGTAATTCTCAATGTGATATGGCTTGTTTCCCCTGGTCTATAGCCACATATCATTAGAGATCCTAAAGCAACTAGAGTTTTATTGCAAGAGATTGTTCCTTGTTACGGAATAAAAGAGATTTAAAACTCATACTACTCTAATCAAAGGGATGAATGTATCTATCATCATTCCACTAATCACCATTTCTTCTTTCCTGACTTCTAAATTCATCAGTCCTGGTTCCAAGAATACAGTGGAGAGGCATCTGAAGGCAGTCTTTGTTTTTTGCCCAACAAATCTTTCTGAAATGGGAACATTTCATTTTTTATTAGTTTTTTGAAATTTAATCAAGGCAGGTTAGTTATCCTGGGAACATAAAGCTTATGACAGTTGTTGTATTGTAGAAGAGGTGTGTTATTTCCATGAAATGATGTTGGTTTTTAGATTTATGGTAAATTACAGGAAGAATTGCTGAGTTTGCTGTCTTTAAAGTACTCATGACGATTAATTAATAAAGTAAGTTCCATATTTCAGTTATTGATTGTTCTTGGTGTGTTGACATTTTCTTCTTCTGTATTTGTTTGGTTTCCTTGGAAGAAAGAGTAAAAGAAAGAGAAATTCTTTATGCATTGTTTCCTTTTTGACTTTATTTTTCTCCTCCAAGTAGCTCCACCAGTTATTTCAAGAGATTTCTTTTAACAACTCAGCTGGAGAAAGAGTCTTCTTTAAAGACAGAAGAGAAAGTCCTGGTGGCTTTGACATTATCAACATGATCACTTTCCCAAACAGATCCTTTCAGAGAGTTAAAATTGGAAAGTTACACCCCAATGCTCCAAAAGGGAAAGAAGTTATCATTGAGAACACAATCCTTTGGCACCCTGGTTTTAACCAGGTATGAATAGCAATTGGGCTGTTGTTTTATTATATTATTGAAAAGTAATAGCAATAGTGCTTAGACTAACAGTATATACCGCTTCATAGTGCTTTACAGTCCTCTCTAAACAGTTTACAGAATCAGCATATTGTCCCCAAAAATCTGGGCCCTCATTTTACTGACCTCAGAAGGATGGAAGGCTGAGTCAACTTTGAATTCCTGGCAATGACCTGAATTAGCATGCAATACTGCATTCTAACTGTTGTGCCACTACGGCTCAATCATGTTCAGATACAAAGGAACAAATAACCCTAACCCTAACCCTCTGTAAAATGTTAACAATGTTAAAGGTCATTTATGTAACCCAATGTAAATAATTTCCATTGTTTAATCGGGATTCTTTCATATCAATGGCTATGTTTATGTCTGTAGGTTCTTCCTGTTTCTTTGTGTAATGACCACTGTTCCCCTGGATCCTGGAAGAGAAGGGCTGAAGGCAGTCAGTTCTGTTGCTATGACTGCGTTCCATGCTTAGAAGGAAAGATTTCTAATGGAACTGGTAGGTTATCAATTTCACGCCAGGATTGACTTTACATCTGCCGAAAGGGCAGTTTTGCTTCTGACCCCCACCCATGCCAGAAAGTGCATGCCACCATTGTTCACCTGTCGTGTCCCCCCGACAGCCCCTGTGATCTCCTATCACATGCTGGCAGGCAGAGGCTCCATGGCCTAAAAGTCCCATTCTATCTCCACCCTGCTCAAGAAAGGGTGAGGTGAGGGGGAGATATTAACAGTGTAGCGTCCACAGGCCATGGCTTTCCCACTAGGGGGTAGGATGATCCTAGTGAAAGGGAAGCCTTGCAGGCTGGCAGATCAGGCCAGTGAGTGGGGCATGGAGGCGCTAGTGCCTAGGAAGGTGAGCAGCAGCCCCAGTGGCAATAAGGGCCATTGAAAAGAGTGGAGTATGTGTGTGTGCCTCCTATAAACTCACCCGTCAGCTAAGCTCTCCTTGCCAAAGATCAGCTGTAGCATGGCGTGGAGAGCAAGGCTGATGTGGGCAAGGAAGGCACACATACAGACTCCACTGTTTTCAGCAGCGCTTTGGTTCCTGGCCCAGAAAAGTGGAGCTGGGCGTGGTGAGGCGAGGCCCAGCAAAGCAGAGCTGGAGGAGGAGAGGGCCATCAAAGTCGGGCATGGCCAGGATTGACGGGCGAGGTGGAGAGAGGTGGGCGATGCTGGGAGGGGCAGATCAGGATGAGGCAAATGAGCTGCAGCTGTTCCTGTGCACCACCAGAAACCAAGCACTCGCCATTTCCTGTTTGTGCATTGGGAGGGTGCCAAGCTGGGTTGGGATGGGCAAGGGCTGGGGCAACCGGGACTGGGGCAGCGGGGGCTGATCCCTTGCCATTTCTGGATCAGCTCCAGGGGCCAAATTTGGGCCCTTGGCAGGCCGGCCCCGACACGCAGTCCTTGTGTTTCATATATCTGCTTTATAAGGACTTCAGGCGTGGGTGTGTCAAATGAGGGTCTTATGATGTCTCAGATGTGAGTCATCAGAGATGGGCTCGTGATCGAGAGGTCAGGGCCATTGGAGGATGTGAATTATCAGGGGGTCAAGATCCATCACCATCTTCTCATTGATGACTCATACCTCAGCCACTGATAATTCACACTCTACAATGATCATGACCTGAAGTACCTTCCCCATCACAAGGCCCATCACAAGCCCCTCTCTGATGACTCATACCTGACCCATCCCCACCTAAAGCACTTATAAATAGTAAAGCAGTGAAATAGAAATCTACTAAATGCCACTGAAAATGTTACGTAGCCTGCTAACAAAAAGTTGAGAAAATGAACCTTCACCCTCAACATTCTGAGTGCTATAAACTGATTAAGGTCAGTTTAGCTGCAATGAGTGCAACATTTCTTTTCCACATGATCTGCCATTTTCCAAGTTTTAACTTCCATAAAAACCGGAAAATACGTCGAAGCAAAGGGAATTTCACTAGGTCACAGATGTCTTATGAACGGATCAGTTATTTTATCATTCAAGGAACACAGGATGGATATTTGTAGAACCAACTATTGTTCTCCACGTAGAAAACAAAAGCATCTTAAAGTCAAGAAAAAATACAGGGATGGACGTGTCCCTTTGAGAGCTGTATGCAATGAAATTCCATTTTAATGTATGCCAATTAGTGTACATTCAAAGTGACAATAAAGTTTCTATTCTATTCTGTTCTGTTCTATTCTGTTCTGTTCTCTTCTGTTCTACTCTAAATATCATTTTATCAGAAAGGTACATTATAGAACTGGCATCCACACAGGCTAAAATTTTCAAAAACGCAAAATGGATAGATGACAAATTCATTGGCTTTTCGTTCCAGATATGAATGACTGTTTTGAATGTTCAGAAGATCATTACCCAAATAAAGAAAAGAAAGGATGTATCCTGAAACAGCTGGTCTTTCTAACTTTTGAAGAAGCTTTAGGAATTGTTTTAGCCTCAGTCACTCTTGGTTTCTTCTTCTTGACATCTTGGGTACTTGGAACTTTTATTAAACACAGGGACACTCCCATTGTCAGAGCCAACAACAGGTCTCTCACCTATACCCTTCTTGTCTCGCTTTTCTTCTGTTTTCTCTCCTCTTTTTTATTTCTCAGCCAACCTGGCAAAGTGACCTGCCTTCTCAGACAACCAACTTTTGGAATTACCTTCTCAGTGGCCATTTCTAGTGTACTGGCAAAAACCATCACGGTGGTTGTAGCTTTCATGGCCACTAAACCTGGATCTCAAATGAGGAAGTGGGTGGGGAAAAGATTGGCCTTTGCTGCTGTCCTTTCCTGTTCTCTTGTTCAAGTATGTATTTGTACTCTTTGGTTGTCAATATATCCCCCATTCCCTGAGTTAGAGATGCACTTAGAGCCCCAAGAAGTGATTTTACAGTGCAATGAGGGGGCAGCTACATTCTTCTATTGTGTCTTGGGCTACATGGGTTTCTTGGCCATTGCCAGCTTCATTGTGGCTTTCCTTGCCCGTAAATTACCTGATAGTTTCAATGAAGCCAAGTTCATCACTTTCAGCATGTTGGCCTTTTGCAGTGTGTGGATCTCCTTCTTTCCAGCCTATATGAGCACAAAAGGCAAAGTCATGGTAGCTGTGGAGGTCTTCTCCATCTTGTCTTCCAGCGCTGCATTACTGGGATGCATATTCTTGCCAAAGTGCTACATCATTGTTTTGCGGCCTGAGCTAAACCACAGGGAACAACTAATAAAGAGAATGTAGTACATCAGATTGTTTTACCTAACTTTTTTTTCCTTTGAATACATCAAGCTAACAAGATTTTGACAATCTGTCTGTTTATATTTTTAAGAGATTTGACATATTGACTTTAAGGATAAAGGGCAGCTGGCAGTTCATGGTTTTTATAGCTTCACTTCATAAACCAGTGTATAAATATGGGAAAAATCTAATGGATATTTTATAGACATGTATTTAGCTCAGTATCACAGGGGATCTCTTTTGGATTGATTGGTCATCTTTGACAGGTAAAAGGTAAAATGTTTTTGAGCATTTAATATACATTTAACTCTGTTTTTTTAAAAAAAATTCATGAACCGTCTAGCCATTCACTCTCCATCCACCAAGATATTTTTACTGTATCCTATTGCAACTTAAGGATATTATATGAAATGTAATTTCCTTCTGCCTCATCCCTTACTAGAAGTGTATGCTGGGTGATGTCCATATCAAGTTTGATTTGATTTGGTTTGATTTAGGTATGTCTTCCATTAGTCCTTTGGAGGAGACCCCTTTCTTTATGTAATATATGTTTAATAAAATACCACGTCAGACTAAACAGCAGAAGACTATGAATTTTGCTTTAACCATGAAAGCCACCTGGGTGACTTTAGGACAGTCCCTCTCTCTCAGCACAACCCACTTCACAGGGCCATTGTTGTTTGGGGGGAAATAGGAAGAGGAAAGTGTGTTGGATATGTTTGATGCTTGGAGTTATTGGTAAAAATAATAAAAACTGGATATAAATAAATAAATAAATTTGCTTTGGGTCCTGTATTTTAATTCCATGATATCAATATTGGTGTTGGTTCACATTAGCATTCTCTGCCTGGAAATATGAGTGAACTCATCCAAAAGGCTATCTGGTTTAATTGGCATTCTTTAATAGGTAGAAAAGTTTCCTCTTCTCTATTCAACTACTCTGTTTATTTTACGTGGAAAATGAACATGAATTTGAACTATTAGGCCTATTTTTACTTTATTATAAATTTTTACAATTTTACAATAAAAAACCCCTTCCCCAATCCCTCCCAACCCACCCCAAAACCCTCCCCCATTCTTCCCAGAGCTGAATACAGGGTTAACTAGAACTTAAAAGAAAAAAACTTTTAAACCCAAATAAACCTTAAACAAATATAATTACATTCAGTAAACAAATCATTAAATCATTATATATATAAAACAGAAACAGAAAAAGAAGAAAATAAAAAAATAAAATAATAATAATAATAAAAAAACTATTCTACACTTCTAAATAATATCTTCAACTTTAAAAATAAATTATTCAAAAGCTAAATGATATTTTCTTATATCATACTTATATTGTATAAAATTTATCCATCTTTTCCACACTAAGAGATACTTCTCTTGCGATTGATCTTTCAAGAAAGCCGAAATTTTTGCCATTTCAGCTAAGTAAAAAACTTTAAGAAACCATTCTTGCAACGTAGGCAAAGATTCCTTCTTCCAATATTGTCCTATTAACAACCTTGCCGCTGTAATTAAATTTAACATTAAAATAATCTTTTTGTCATCACAATCAGAAACAATACCCAACAAAAACAGTTGTGGGGTAAATTTTATCCTTCTTTTGAAAATTCTTTGAATATTCCACCATATCTTGCTCCAAAAGGCTTTTATGCTTTTACATGACCACCAGATATGATAATACATTGCATCCAAGCAGCCACATCTCCAACATTTAGGCTGCAAATTTGAATACATACGAGACATTTTTTGTGGGTCAAGGTGCCATTTTATAAAAAATTTTCCTGTAAATTTTGCGCTTGTGTAAATTTAACATTCCTCACCCAAATAGTCTCCCATGTATCTAATAGAATCGGTTCATCAAAATTTTGAGCCCATTTAACCATACAATCTTTAATTCTGCTTCTGAATCCAATTCCACTAATACACCATAAATTCTTTTTATGTGGGTTCGACTTTGATCTCTAATTTGTTTTAACAAGTTCTCATCCTCTCTAAGCAAACCCACTTTATAATCTATCTTCCACCTTTCCAATAATTGTCTATACTGAAACCATGAATAATTAATATTTTCTTGTGCTAATTCATCTATAGATTTTAATTGCCAATTTTTACCATCCCACTTAAGTAATTGTATATAAGAAATATTATCCATCTTAACTCCTATACTGACCCAAATTTGGAGCGTTATATTTCAAATCCAGTCAGATAGTTAACTCAAAAGAAACGATCTTATAATAAACAAATATATTTTAATGAGAAAGATTACTTGCGTTCACGTTGAGATTGGTGCTGCTAGAAATACATGTTTGTTCATCTTTCAGATCCTTTCCTTAGGTAAGAAGATTTTGCTCTTTATACCATCTTATAGGGAGACCTTCCATGGCCCATGCTTCTTACAGACAAAGAGATTCCCATGTGGCTTGTGTCCAGGAAGTCTCCCAAAGACCTTTGGAACTCCTCCCACTGACCCATCCACATACCTAGAATTTAACCCAATAACTGCCAGACATTCCAACATAGAGCTGGACCATAGAGCTATATGGGCCAGAACACTCCCCGCTTGGAAATTTATATTTCCACTATTAAAATAGTAAAAACGTAGCATCAAGGCATGCAATACTCATTGTGGTTAACTTGTGACTAACTAGGTAAAAACTTGGTATCAAACATGCATAACTATAAGGTAAACATAAAACATGCACAATTATGAAAAAGGCAAGTGTTACATCAAACAATGCATAAGACAATACATAATTTGAGGTTTAATCTTCTGGTTCAGTCTTCATTGGCGATGGACCAGTGTCTTTGAGTCACGACCTGACTCATGTGGCTTCATGATCTGGATCTCAGCTGGGTAAACTAGTTCATCAAGTGGGTGGGCCCGGTGCGCAGGAACCGTGGGCCAATAGTTCTGGTATGCAGTCTTGTCTCCCAATGAGACAAGGTCTTCTTCCTGTGAAGGAAACTGGAACCAAATCTGGAACAGAAAAAACTGGAACCCAAGCTTCTCGGGAATGAGGGGAACTGGATTCACAGGATACTCAGGAACTGAAAAACCTGGAAAGACATAAACAGCTGAATCTGGAAACTCAGGAACAGTTGGGGCTGAAGAATCAAGATCAGGAACATCAGAAAACTCAGGAACAGCTGGAAACTCAGGATCAGGAGCATCTGGAAACTCAGGAACAGCCGGAGCTGAAGAATCAGGAACAACAGCTGGGACTGAAAGGTCAGGAACAGCAGCTGGAAGTGAAGAATCAGGAACAACAGCTTGAGCAGAAGACTCAGGATACTCAAGAACCGAAGGGTCTGGAGCCACCGGTGGAGTACTGAAGAGGACTGCTACTGTTGTTGTCAGGGTGAGGACTTCATGTGTGGGTGTCAGTGTATTTAATGACATGGAGTCCATGAAAGGCAGTAAGTCCTTGCAGGCTTCTACAAGGCTAATTCTTGGGGTGCTGAGACAAGTGATCAAGACGATCAAAACTATGCCTAACTTCAGTTGTCTGCGCTTAGACAGGGTTTTGAAGCGGATTGGTTGACGTTTACCGGGTGTCTGAGGTTGAAGGTTGGCACTTTGATCTGAAGCTGGAAGTGCATAACGTTTTGGTCTATGTGGCATCTGTCTATTTGGACAGGCCAAGAGCTGAAGACTTTCTAGCCAGATCAGTTCTGTTATCTGTGTGGCAAGGTTGGGCCACTTTACTTGGTTAACAAAGTTCTTATTTGTTGGCACATATTGCCATTGTTCAGGGCTTAAGGATGTTTCAATCCTTTTCTCTCTGTTGTTTACATGGACGTAGAAGTGTCCACTTTGTTTGCAGATGTAGCTTGACATCACCTTGCTGTCTGCGTAGAAGGTGGTAGACTGTAGTTCAAGGCACAACGTCTTTGCTGTCAAGTTGGTCAGCTTTACAGCCAAAGTGGTGCCATATAGCTGTAACCTTGGTACGGTGTGGCCTTCTTGTATTGTTAGTCTCGCTTTTCCTAAGAAGACATCAAGACTGCAGCACTCCTCGCTGTAGACTCTGATGCATCTTATGGTCACAAACAAGATAACGTAAGTGTGGCTCTCCCTGCTGTAGAGTGAGACGTATCTTAAGGCTGCAGACACCTTCGTAGGCACATCTAAGGAAGCGTACAACTCTTTCTTCTGCACTGGGGCAGGTGAGCTGGAGACATACATGCGCTGCACTTGCATGCTTTGGAGACATTTTGGGAGTATGCTCCATGACTCCCAGTCTTGGGGGCGTTGTTTGTCTTGTTTGTCCTTTATGGACAAAGCTAAATTGTAGTAAGTCTTGCTTGTCTGGAACACGGTTGCTTCCAAAACAGGTTTGGTTGTTACAAGCGTGCGATACTCTAGGTGCGGTTGGAGCACTGTTGTTACCAAAATAGGTTTGGTTGTCACAAGCATGCAGTGTTGTTCTAGGCGCGGTTGGAACACTGTTGCTACCAAAACAGGTTTGGTTGTCACAAGCATGCAGTGTTGTTCTAGGCACGGTTGAAACACTGTTGCTACCAAAACAGGTTTGGTTGTCACAAGCGTGCAGTGTTGTTCTAGGCGCAGTTGGAATACTGTTGCTACCAAAACAGTTTGGTTGTCACAAGCATGCAGTGTTGTAGGCATGGTTTTATGGGGTTCAATGGGGTAATAACGGTGGAAAGATCTTGTGGCACTCCCCGCTGTGCAGTTGTTGCCATCAGGTTCGATGTGGCAGCAACGGCAGGAGGATCTCGTGACCTAGGTGTCGTGTCATCAACTCTGTGGTTGACCAGCGAATCAGGTCGTTGAGATTCCTCTGTTTGTCTACTCGGTCTTGGGGGGCTTGTGGCTGGCTGAGGTGCTCTCATCTGTGCATTCTGGAGTGCGCTTTGGTTGTCCACATAGGCCTGTACATGGCTGTGAGAACTTTCCCTTCCTAGACTTTCCAAATTGGGCGTTGACATGGCATCTTCTAACTCTCTCTGCAGGATCGCTTCTATTGCGGCTG